CTCTTTCCTTTCGTTTTCGAATATTTGCAAAGGCTAATATCTGTTTGGTGTTTTGTAAATGGGGACAATGAGTTTGGTCACAGGATCAATGTCCAAAAACTGATCGAATATTACAACAATTGTAACCAGCTCGATGTTTGGTTCCAGATTCATTTCCGATAAGTTTTTTTTTTTACATTGTGAAATAATGTAGAATATATGGCTTCTATGATTAGTGTACATGTCAAAAGACATATATCAAGTTTGTTCTCTAACGTTGTATCTGAATGTATTGATTGATATATATATATAGATGGGAAATGCGACGGTGCGGGATCATCAGAGGAGGATCAAGACAACAACAGCGGAGGTGAAACTGAACTTCCGGAGATCGATCCCCGGGCAGAAGATCGGGAACTGAAGAATCACTTGCTGAGGAAATACAGTGGCTACTTGAGCAGCCTGAAGCAAGAACTGTCCAAGAAGAAGAAGAAAGGGAAACTCCCGAAAGAGGCGAGGCAGAAGCTGCTCACTTGGTGGGAGTTGCATTACAAATGGCCTTATCCTTCTGTACGTATATATACGTTCCTTCTTCCTCGTATCTCATCGCTTTTTCCACAAATTCTCGGTTTGAGATTCTGCATTTAGTCAGTCCAAAGGCTCGGATATCTTCGTTACAAAAACGTGTAGTCATTGTGTGAATTGGTACTCCTTTGCTAGCTCTCATACTTAGTGTTACGACGGATTAACGAGCTAATTAATCAACAAAGATGTGGTAAAGTAATCTTTTTGTTTACTACTACAATGTTTTTTAACTTTAATTTTCCGGCATCTATGCAACTTTCATGTGGAAATCAGCAAGAACCGACCATTTCCTCTAAGCCATAATGCCACAAAAAAACATTCACGTTTCGTAAGATTCACAATCGGTTCATTTGGACTGTTTTGATTTGATTACACGCAGGAGTCGGAGAAGGTGGCGTTGGCTGAATCGACCGGTTTAGATCAGAAACAGATCAACAATTGGTTCATAAACCAAAGGAAACGCCATTGGAAACCGTCCGAAGATATGCAGTTCATGGTGATGGAGGGTTTGCATCCTCAGAGCGCAGCTCTTTACATGGACGGTCATTACATGGGCGATGGCCCTTATCGTCTCGGCCCGTAAAAACCGCGGATATTTCTCCTTCTCCCCTCGTTTGATCCGCATCGGTATGTATACTTCTATAGCATTGTGTTAGCTTATATATATATACACATATATATATTTGTTTCCCTAATTGAGTTTCCTCATTGAGGAGTCTTTATTTATGTAGTTTTCATGTCATGTTTTGGACTGTGGGATTATTATGTTGGGAGGATCTCAAAAGACTTTGGTAAGGGAGAGATCTCCCACTTTGGTTTCCATTGAAATGAAACATATATATGCAAGTGTGTATAATCATGTGTCCGCCAAGAAATTGTAATATATATATCTCAAATGATGGGATTCGCTATTTATATTTCTTATGGAATGTTAAATCCCATGAATGTTGTATAGATATAATCCTGACTCCTGAGAATGTTGCTATTTATATTTATTATAGATAATATTTATATTTTTTTATTCGATTATATTTAGTGTTCTATTTAAAAATGAACTCTCTATATATAAATTTGCTCTTATCGTCCAAGGAATTAATTAAGTCGTATATATTCCTAATAATTCCTAATAATATACGTATTTTCGTCATTTGATCAGTTTGATGAGTCGAAATCTACAGGTTTGGGGGCTGAAATTTTAGTCATTAAAAAAACAATACAACTGGAAATAATTATTTCAAAACATAAATGGGTTTTTGGAGCAATTGGGCTGTTTTTATTTTTTTTATTTTTTATGATGATGATGATGTAACGTCTCACACGAGAGCCTCGTCAGATTATCGATTTGCTGCATCAAATCAAATATTATAATAGTTTTCGTCGAAATATTGACGCATTGATAGAATTTGACTATTTAAATAATTGAGATTTAATATGAAAGTTATATAATTTTAATATTTTTTATTTTAAAAATCCAACAAATGTTTTCGGAGAGTTTTCATGAAAATTCAATATTTTATATATGATTTTTCATATTTAAATTACGAGAAATAACCGTTTAATTATTTTTATGTGATCTGTTTTGTCCACCGAAATATTCGCATGTCATACCATAATTCGGAATTAATCCAAAGACTTTGATAACAATTGATCTAATTAAAACGGATATAAAAAACCAAATTCTCTGATCCCATTGAATTCACACCCAACAATAACTAAAAACTCAAACTCAATATTAAATTAGCGGTGGATACGAATTGGATATCTGAAAATTTTCAAATATTTGTATCTGTATTCGATTTGTACAAATATCAAATCTTGTTATTCATATCCGATCTATATTTTTCGGATATCCACAATTTCGGATATCGGTAAAAACTATGAATATTTGTAAATATTTGTATCAAACATAAAAAAATAATAAAAAAGAGAAATCAAATTAAAAAATTCAAACACAAATAAAATATATAATCTATCAAATACAAAACTATATTCAAATGCAAAATACATAACATAAATATCCTAAATCAAGTCAACTACAAACACAATCATATTTCATCGGATACAGACATATTTAATGTTTAAATTCTAAAGATTAAGAATCATAAACCTCCATAAACAGAGAAAACATATGTTGAATCTTAATGAAAAATCTATAAATTGGAAACATTCCAAAATATAATATAAATCAATTGGTTAATAAAAACTTGATGTCTATGATGTCTTATTATATGTTACATACTCTAATTCTCCAAAACTCGTTGATCGCCATATCAATTATCCAAATTTAGCATTGCAGATTCGAACAACTCAGTTATTTCATCTAAAAAAGCATAAAAAATCATCAATAAGATAATAAATAAATATACAAATATTCAACATCTTATATTAAGATTTTTGTGTGTGCAATCTCTTCCAATATCTCTTCACCATTATTCAATCCATCAGGACTACAAATCCAATCTTGAATACAAATAAAAACTTCAATCATTTTCGAAATGAGACAACTATGATATGGACTAATCACACGATCATCGGTACGAAAAACAGATTCTAAACTAATTGTCCATATCGGAATAGCCAAAAGATCTCTTGCTATCAAAGAAATAATCTTATACTTTGAACTATTCGTTTTCCACCAATACAAAATATCAAAATTTTGAAATTCTATTCGGACAAATACTTCTCTAATTCTAATTTTATCACACTCCCGTGACTTTTACATTTCAAATAATCTTGAAACAACCAATCATCACCACTATCCATGTATTAGCATTCAACACTTCACTTCCATTTGATTGACCCGTTTCAATGGAATAGGTAGGCTCACTTTTAAAAATCTTTTGCAGTGTTCGTTCAATAATATTCATCATTTCTTTAGCTTCATACTCCATATAAACTTTCTCAACTGCCAAACTTATCCATTACATCTTGAGACGCGGATCAATAATAGTTGCAAGATAAATCAACGGATTCATTATTTTGTAATCCCATCAATACTTATGAAATTTGTCTATCATCTTTAATGCAATTGACCGTATCATCTCATTTTCGCTCATACTCATCACCTTAATACGTATTCCCACTATAAGTCTCTTTCATATATAAGTTTCATATTGAGAACCGGAAATCTTCACAGTGGTGTCATAAGAGACTTTTAAAAAAGGAAACAAAACACTTACTCGTGACCAATCTTCTTCTGAAGGTACCATTTTTCCATTCTTTTTTAGTTCATCCACATACTTCTCATCATGCAATTCTGATGGTTCGGATTTTATGTGGATTTGTACGGGATAACGCCTTTGATTTTACATGATTTTTACATATCTTTAGACATCTTAGAGCCATCTTTAGGTTCTCGGGACAAGGTTGTGAACATTGCAGGAACTCGAGGGAAGAATGAAGAAACCTGAAACTCTGTTCTGAATCCTAGGAAGAATCGAAGCCAAAATTGTTCGAGAAAGTAGTCCATTCGGACTACAGTTCAGATCGAACGAACTGTAATAGTAGTCCGTTCGGACTGCAGTTCAGATCGAACGAACTGTAATAGTAGTCCGTTCGAACTAATTCCAAGGCCCGAACGGACTAGCTCAGCCAGTCCCAAATCCTCTCAGCACACTTCAGTCTGAACGGACTGCAGATATCAGACTGTTCGGATTGACTATGTTAGACGGTTCTGACTGATTACGCCAGACGAAACAAATTGCACATCCTAGTCCGTTCGGACTGTCTATGCTGGACCGATGGACTACTGAGAATATATCTCGCCAAACTCACGCCGTTTTGGGAAAATTAACCTGTTTTTGTGGGTAAGAGGAGAGAAAAAAAAAGGACTTGGAAGGGGCCGAAAATAGAGGAAGCTTAGAGAGAAAAGGAGAGCTCTTGGAGGAGAAAGAAGAAGGAGGAGACTCCACTGAAGATTGAAGATTTCTTGAGCATCTATTTACTTTCTCTCTCTATGATTTCCACCTTTTGTCATAGTTTTGCTTTGGTTTTGAACATGGTTAGCGAGTAGTTTGTAGTTATGGGTTGAGGGTGAACCTTCATGGAAGGATGTGTGTGTTGGGGTTTTGGATATCCCTAAACATGCATTCATAACGGTTTCTAGGGTTCCAATCTTGGGTTTCACGCAGCGGAATGTATAAAACGAAACCCAATCAACAGATCTTGCATATAATGATAAAAGTATCGATATACCAACCTGTTTCGATCCAGAGACCTATCACAAACACTGAAATCCAACGTTATCTATAGCTAATCCACACTCACAGGCTTGTGTATGCTAGAACACGATCTAGAAGTCGGAAACGAAAGCCGAGACAATCTCGGGAGAGAGAAATTTCGACCAAGAGAGAGAGAGAGAGGGAGAGTTCAAAATTCTCTTATGTTTCTTAACCTAATTATGTTTCTTAAACATAATTATAAAAGGATTAGAGTTTCATTAAACCAAATGGGCCTAATGGGCCTTCACTTAATTATTAAGAGAAAACAAGCCCATTAACCTCATTAATAAATATATGGGCCCATTGAGCCACTTAAACCCATCCCCAATGGATTTCTAATCAGTTTCGCAAACCGATGTGGCCAGAGCAACATATCCATCAATCTCCTACTTGCTCTATTCATGATCGAGTTTCGATCTACCATAATAGACCATCCCAAGCACGCTCCAGAAAATAGTAACAGCCCTACGTGTGTGACCCTGTAGGCCCGTCCAACGCAGACATAGTTCCAAAACTATTTCGGACTAATAATCATATGTGGTCTCTAGCAAGACACTATGACTCCTTTGTCAGACTAGTTTAGTGTGATCTAACGAGCCAAATAACATTCAACACTTGTGTCCTTTTTGTCACACGATATCATAAGTCAAAACAGAGACATGAAATAAGTCATCTCGTCACATTTTGACTGCTTTCTCGTTTGTTGACTTACCTGAACCTACAGATGACTCTTCATCTGTTTGCGTGCGTTTCAGCACAACTCACTCGAGGGGCGCAGCAATATCTCTCTCTTCACATAAGAGAGGAATAAAATCCCATCTTGGCTCTCTACTACCCTCCACATGATTCATAACATTCCCAACTACAACCGTTATATAGTCGTCCTTTTACAGTTCTGAAGTTTGACTGTGTCAAAGAATATCACTCCTCATGTCGGATACATATAGAGACCTCAGGTGTTAGGACTCAAAGCGGTGTATTACATGAGATTCAAGTCATGAGATCAGGTCCATGTGACAATCTCATGCGGGGCATCCAATATTCATTCACAAATGAATACCCATGATCATGACCGTATCCAATATGCTATGATCATCTGTATCATCATCCATCATGCATCATGCTAGTCTTTGTTCGTTAATATTCCCACATTAACGATCAACTAGGGGATTTAGTATCATTACGATAATAATACAAGGATAACATTATTAAACAATAACATGCAATTTGAATAATAATCAATAAGAAAAACATACTTCCATTCATCACAATGAATCCAAGTATAATAAATAAAGTATTCGTGCGAATAATTATGTCTAGAGCATAAAACATCGCGATCTCCAAATGCTCTAATCATAATCAACTAAATGTCTAATCCCTATCGACCTAACATGACACTTATGTTTCGACGAAGGGAGAGGCTTCGTCAACGAGTCAGCGATGTTGTCATCTGTCGATACTCTGCATATAATCACATCTCCTCTGTCTACGATTTCTCTGATAAGATGAAATCGCCTGAGTATGTATTTCGATCTCTGGTGTGACCTTGGTTCCTTGGCTTGCGCAATCGCACCATTGTTGTCACAGTACAACGTAATGGGGTTCACAATGCTAGGAATAACGCCGAGGTCTCCAACGAATTTCTTGATCCAAACAACCTCCTTTGCCACATCCGATGCAGCAATATACTCAGCCTCTGT